CCCCCCCCTTTAGAGGGTGTATCCTCGATTCCACTCGTGTCACCCATTAGATTTTGTGTGTGGACAAGGCAGAATCGCCCATCCTACTTGAACTACAAGGATTTGCGAAAGATTTGCTGTAGTACCGTAGTATATGAAAGGTGGTAACATGCCCCTTTTGACGGACTAATGACTTGGCCTTCTTTAGTATAATATAGACAGGTCAAAAGTGCCCGTTCACGAAAGGGTTAATCAGTGCTGATTGACACCTTAAATGCCCAATCATGGAGGTAAGCGTTGACAGAAATCCCCCATTAAGCGAGGCCTTGTGCACGCGCTGCATCACCAGATCTAGTTGATGTAGTCCGCACCATACATGAATGACTTTCTGACAGGGACGGTCTGTTCGATACGTGCCACTACGCCTTGTGTTCAACCTGTCATTGCTCCTTCCCCGTCTGTTGACACTCCAACGAGGTACTAGCGCATCGGAAAATGTAGATATCGTTTTATACATTTGCTCACGAGTATATTCCTTGTAGAAAGTAACAGCCATGATATATGTATGAAAACTGTGTAGCAAGCCTTAATGACAAATCAAGATCGTATATCAAGGTTAGATTTTCTGTGTATCGTTGACGTGTCCAGAGCAATACATAATCTGTCACAAGTTGCAACACTTCACTTTAAAACTGTAGTGAAGCCGCACAAACCACCATTGCATAATCTGACGCCAATGGGTCTGTGCATCCTGTGTAGACAGATAGACTTGTTTCATCTCGAATGTGCTGACCAAAAACAGCAACCATGTAAAGACCCCCCCCCCACAATACAGCAACAGCCAGAATCGCTAGTTTTGTTATAGCGATCTTGTACTCAAACGTCACACTCTCGTTGCCGACTGAAGGTACAAATAATCGCAATGCTCTTTCACGTGTAACACCATCAATATCGTCAAGAGGAAACAGAAGTTCGTTGATAATGAGATCCGCAAGGGAAGGTGTAACATGAACAACAATCATGTCAGAAGAACTGTCGAAGTGTAGATAGAGCGAGTTTGCCAAATGTATAGCAGCAGCTAAAGACCCCAAAACTGCTGCCTTGTCTTCATCGGTTCGCAAAATATCGTAGGTTTCCACTTTAAGGATGTTCAAGACCTAGAAATTGCTCATATCATGTTGTCCTAAATGATTTGAAGTATTTTATGTTCTCTGATCTCTTCTGTGTTTGTCGTTTGCCGACGAAGACTCTCGCTCTTCACGCCTATAACATCGCAACAGTGATACTTCATTGACGTTACTGCTCCGTTTGCATCTGACGAGGTTGGTTGGGGGCCGTAGCGCATCACGTGCATGGCTTTGAGGGCATGAGAGCTTTCTTCGACTTCTTACGGGGTGGCTATTAATTCAGCGACGAGTTTTGACGGTTCCCGGCTTCCATTTAGGTCAGGCTCACCAAATGGAGGAAATGACCAGCTGAAGCGTAACGACAGCCACAATTATTTTGAGTTCAAGGTGTTTCCGTACGTGCGATGTGAAAATTACAATATAGGTAATGTGGGAATATACTCTGAAATCAGGAGGCCTGACCTGACACTTACCACCAACTCACTCACTCTCTCACTCACTCACTCACTCACTCACTCACTCACTCACTCACATACTCAAGCACTCCCTCCCTCCCTCACTTATTCATTCATCACTCACACTTAGAACACGCTTATGGAACGCTGCAAATTTACAGGGCTAGGTCGAGAGAAGTCCATATTATTAATCTCTCAAACATAACCGACCAGCATGCGGGTGGGCTGGCATCGAAGTGTTAGCTAAACACTGTATTTGGATAACAAGCGACTGACACCACTGGCGGCAGCGAAATGTGAAGTATTGTGTTTTCTTCTCAAAATTTCCTCACACGTGTGCAGACAATCGCGCAAATCGTCAACAGACTTGGGCTAAGTAAAGTCCACTTAAGCACAATAGGGATATCACGATTGTTTGAATCGTTGAGTAGCCATCAAATCAAACCTTCACATTCTAACTGTGAGCGCCACCGTGTACAAAAGTTTTTAGTGTATTTTATAGGTTGTTATTTGAATGGTACTGGAGGCAAGAGTCCTTCTATGTAGTTTCAATATACAGTTCGCCAAGCCTTCATACAATGTTGTTTGACGGTACTGGCAGCGAGCAGCCGGCAGTAACTACATGTTGTTAGACACCATCCATGTCACTGTGGCAGCAGCTAGCGTGACATTTCGTTGCACAGGTGCCACACAGAACATCACTGCCACCGTTTGCATGCATTTTTGTGATAATGTTGGTCTTTCGTTGCAGCCAATCAAATTAAATCTTCAAAACACGTTGATTTTTCGCCAATCATATCATACCTTAAGTGCGTTTTTAAATTTCGATATAATTATAAAAACGTGATAATGTCTTCAATGCTGCTCTTGTAGCTCAGTTGGTTAGAGCGGTGGTCTTATGAGCCGCAGGTCGAGGGTTCGAGCCCCTCCTGGAGCATTTTTTCATTCCTTCTCATTTTTCATGTCAGACCTGACCAAAAGGTTGCCAAACCCTATAACTTCCCCATTCGCCCTTTTAGTTACAAAAACAATCCAACTGATCTAGTGCACCAAAACATGTACAGTACGATTCGTAATCAGTTACGTTTACCTTAATCAATTGTTATTCCGGTAACTGATTGCATTACTATAGTATCTTCAATGATTTGTTACAAGAGATTGATAATCCGAGAGGAGTACCGTGAAAAAAATGCTTTCTTTTAGAAGCAAATGACCTAGTCTTGTTTAGTATAATTTAGGCAAGAGGCTTGCGAAAGGGTTAACATGACCAATAATGAGTTTGTCAGCTAAAGTGTTTTCGCGCGGAACCAGCCAATCAAGTTTGAGCACAATCGGTGCAAAAATGAGAGACTTTCAATACATCGGTTTTTTTTAATTGAGAATGGGCAACAGGTTATCACACTATTAACTATTTGCTTTCAGTATGTAAATGATGTGCATATATGATGCGGTGCTGGGTGATTTGTATGGGATAGTTGCGCTGCTCAGCTATCAGGGTAGCAGGACGGCAAAGATGGAGTACCAATCTGGCATCCCTGTTTGTATAGAAACTACATGAGGATTACGGTACATTTAACCCTTAAGGAGTGCACTCCGACAGGTCACCAGTGCATATTTTTCAGTATATTTAACATCAGACACTCGCCATTCTCGACACGTATGACCACCGTTTCCAAGCCAAACTCTCAGCCTCTGAAACCAGGCGTGGCAAGTCATCAGTCTCTTCGTGTGGTGCATCTCGTCAGGGCAATCCGGATTGGTGGTTGCTTATCCAGGGGTCAAAGCGCTTCAAAGTCGAGAAGAGCATCATTAGCGCCGCTGTGCGTTGTGATCGCGCTCCTGAATCATTCGTTTATCCCGACAAGGTCATGCTGGGCCAAATAAGGCCGTGCGCAAGCGTCCAGATGGGCTCTGAAACATTCGTATGTAGTGTGTTTCTATATATCCTCCGTTAAGAGTAACTCAGAGAGCGCAGTGGTTCTGCATCAGCGTGACCAAGAAGGCATCGCGCTGCCCTATCTTGAGTTCCGCAGCACGCTTACGAATCTGGTTGATGAATACGAAGATTACCAGAGCAGCGCGATAAGTAGAAGTAATACTGATGATCATAGGTGTCGGACTGCTGCTCTCGTCGCACTGCTGCACGTTGTCCTACTGCTGAGGCGGTAAGTCGGTGCCGGTGGGTGATGCATCCTGATGGTCTGATCCGAGTGCAGCACGCCGTCTTGCCAGTCTGTTGGTGCTGCAGGCTGCCTTGGAGTTCAAGTTGCCAGGTACGTC